TTTTTTTTTTTTTTTTTTTTTTTTTTTTTTTTTTTTCTTATTTGCTGTCTCCATTTTGCAGGCTAGAAAAGACGCCACTCAGATTGTTGCGAATTTACAGAGGCAGCAGGTTCAATCTAAGCTCATTGCGTCTGATTACTTGGAGACGAATTTGGATCTCATGGATGTCTTGATATCTGGGTAAGTAAGGGGCATATAGGTGAACTCGCCATTTTGACCAAATCTAAATTTAATCTTGTAATGTCAGTTGATTCTAGTCATTTCTTCTTTATACTTGATTGCAGCATTTGGTTTATTTTAGGTGAAATTCAGTCGTTTCGTGCTTATAGGTTGACTAACTGTTGTTTTTTTTTTGTAGCTACGAAAACACAGATATGGCATTACACTATGGTGCAATGTTGAGGGAGTGCATAAGACACCAGATTGTTGCAAAGTAAGAGGGAAGGAGCAAATAAATTCAATTTTGTGTTTTTTGCGTGATTTCAATTTTAAAGCATTTAATGTTAGGAGGTTGAATCACGACCATTTTGGTTATGGTTTTAGGCCATGTTAGAGTAGTTTTATATCTTGGAGTCATAGTGCTATTGGTTCAGATACTTCCAAATCCTTTTAGAGATATATATTGCTACATGGGGAGGGTACTGTGTAGTCATATATAAATTGAAGCATAGATAGATGTACACAAATAAAAGACAGCCTAGGCATGATCATTCTTTCTACTCTAGTATGACTTTTGTGAGTTGTGATTTGTGATGCTGTAATTCTTGGCTTTATATCAGATATGTTCTGGACTCGCCTCATATGAAGAAGTTTTTTGACTTCATTCAACTTCCAAATTTTGACATTGCTGCAGATGCCGCAGCAACATTTAAGGTATTTTTTTGTTTGTTTTGGTACCATGCCCATTTTTTTAGTGAAAGTTGTAAGTTATATCATGTCATATTGTTGCAGGAGCTCTTGACAAGACATAAATCTACAGTTGCTGAATTTCTTTCTAAGAATTATGAATGGGTAGGTTCCCCTTCCCCTCTCGATTTATATAGAAAATATAGTTTTTTAGTTTATACACTCATCTATTGAAATGCCAACTTTTTCCATATTCAACATGGGTTGTATGCTTGATTCGTTAAAGTTTTTATGGTAATAGTATGTAGCTTGGTACTAATCAGGGCACATTTTGATTATGATTTTAGTTGTGTGGTAACTCTTAGATTGATATTATTGCTGCTGGTGATCCAATATAAATGATGTACCAAGAAAGATAATTTTATCATATATAGTTCTGATTAATATTTTAATCTTCCCATTCTTATTAGTTGATATGTTATAAATAGATCTATCTTTATTTTTTTCTTTGCTTTCATAGATTAAAACATTGCACTTATTAGTGTGTATTTGATTCAGCTTATTTTGTAGAAATAGTTGCTTATTTTTGTCAGTTTGCTGAGAGAGATTTTGAAAAATAAGTGATTATTTCTCCAAATTTTGTACCAAACTTTCTATAAGAAAAAAAAAACAATTATTAAAATATGGTGGACTTAAACTTATTTCCAGGACATGGAGGATGGACATACTTTCTATTTAGTACAGCTATAAATACATAATCACATTTTTTATTTATTTACCATACAAGTGTGTTTATTCACCCCTTTCTGTTTCTTTCATATATTTTAGTGTGTTCATTACTTTTTCTTGACGTGCTTTATTTTGTATTGGCTTTATCTCATAGTTACCATCCACTCCTCATTATCTTTGTGCTTACTTTCAGTTTTTTGATGAATATAACTCTAAGCTGTTGGAATCTTCCAATTATATTACAAGGCGTCAAGCTGTCAAGGTATGATTTAAGTTTTGGTATTTATCTCAACTGTAAGATTATTGGATGACACAAGAATTGAGAAGTCTTGGCTTCTGAGATTATCCTCTTGAAAATGATTTCATATATATTTGCTTGTTTCTTTATAGTAGGCTTGAATTTATTTGACTTGTAACTGTGTAAAAATAAACAAGCCATCCCAAGCAGTCAACAAATCACCTTGCTATTGCAATAACTGTCTAGTTTTGTTTTTTCCACCGCTGAATTTAAGATCATTACTCATAATTTTATTGTTGAATCAATGTATATATATTTGTTGAGTAGTTTTTTTGTGCCTCTTCTACAGTTGCTGGGAGATATGTTACTTGATCGCACAAATTCAGCTGTAATGACACGATATGTCAGTTCGCGAGACAACTTAAGGATTTTGATGAATCTTCTACGGGTATGGTCCTTTCTGTAAAACTTTATGGCTTTCCCGTCTTTATTGTGCGCCCTGCAGGAGGGGTGGTAATTATATGGACTTTAGATACATTTGTATTGATAATGTTGAACTATCCAGTTGCTCTTTTCAGTACAAGAAAATGTATTAGCATTGTTAAAATACTGAAATGCCTTGTTGTAAATGTTCCACTTCCACCCCTGTTTAATGTTGAGTTTCTGATGAGCATAAATTTTAATGTTGAAGAGGAAGTTTAGCAGTTAGAGTTATGTTTATTCAGCCATTTAATGGGTTATTGCTGATATCTTTCTGCAGGAGTCGAGCAAGAGCATTCAGATAGAAGCATTTCATGTTTTCAAGGTATTATGGTTACATAATGGCCCACATTTTGGAATGTTACTCTTAACCTTGTACATCCCAAAATTTTGCTTCTTTATATTGATTTGTTCTTGTCATGCAGCTTTTTGTTGCTAACCAAAAGAAACCAGCTGATATCATCAGCATACTTGTTGCAAACAGAAGCAAGCTTCTTAGACTTTTGGGCGACTTTAAAATTGATAAAGGTAAGGATCTGATGCGATTTCTTAAGAATTTGTACTTTCTTTTTTCTGGTACTATGTTCCATGATATCATGTTTATTGGGATTGTGCAGAGGATGAACAGTTTGAAGCTGACAAAGCTCAAGTTATGAAAGAAATTGCTGCTCTTGAACCTAGGGACCTCGCTTGAGCTTCAGATTGTGTCAGGTAGCAAGTTGCATTGCGGCATTTTACTTTCTTTAATTGTCTATTGTTATAGTTCTTTTTGTCTTCATCAAGATGAGACTAACATTCACACAAATTCCAACGTTTCCATCCTGAAATTTCATTTCGGTTCTGTAAATTCATAGATAAATAAATTGCTAAAATGAGCTACATGCAGTAGCAGTATATGGCTTTCCTGGTGCTAGAAAGGTTTGCCTAGCAGGTAGTTTATAAATTGTACGAGGCCATGTAATATTCTTACTATCTAGAATTTGTATGATTAATTTGTTCTGTTACTTCATAATGAGAGTGACTTTTTGTATGAGGGAAACTTTTTGTATGAGAGTGAGATGAATAAATTTGAATCATACAATTATATAAATGGTCAATAATTTTTTTCTAAGTCACATATTTACTTTAAAAATTCATGTGACTATTAATATTTAATTTTGAGTATCCATGTATAGTTATATGATATAAATTTATAGTTCTCATCTCTTATATTAAGAAGAGTTCTCTCATGGTATGCGCTATATGTACGTGTGTCTTGTACCATGCATGTGGAGACTTGATATGTGTGTTTTTATGTTTAGAAAATTACGTATGAGAAATACAGAAAGCCACAATTTGTATTTTGTAGCTTCTGTAATGACTTGATAAACCACGTCAAATATGCCTGCCTAAGAAAACGTTTCCAAACATGCTAGAATTAGAACTTCGGTGTTTCCTCACGAAGTTCATCTAAAATGAGTAGGTCGTGTTTCCCATGACACTGGAGAATGGAGGACAGATTCATAGATGTTTCTACAGGTGACTTCGATTCGGATATATACTAAGCGTGAGATAAATTACAAGAGTAACAATTAAATTCTTGAATTAAAATAATTATTTTACACTAGTTAAATTAACTTATGTATGTCAATTTTTTCAAAAGCTATTTTTTTAAAGACTTTTTTCATAAGTCCTTATAAATTTATAAGGATTTTTTGGTAAATTGAAAAAAATCAAAGGTTTACCTTTTTGTTTTTCATTAGACAGAATTAATTCTAATTAGGTTTATGACAAAAAAGATTGCTATAGATTCTATAATTTTTTGACGTTGTAAAATGATCTAGGGAGTCGAGAGTGAGAAGTTCAAGCCCTTGGGCAAGGGTGAATAATTGCCGCACGACAGATTTTTAAGGATGGTAATGAAAAGAAATGAAGCCACTAGCTCAACTTTGATAGGATAATTTAATGATAATGAAAAGAAATGGGGAAGACTCTTGCTTTTGCTCACTCTGGTTCGACAGTGTAACTTGTTTTCAGGGATTGAGACTTTCTCGAATTAGCGAGGGTTTGGTTCAACTTTAATTTTGTATGTCTAGCTATAATTTTCAAATCAAATGTTCAAAGAGGTAGAAGCTATTTCAAAAAAGGTTAATGGTCATGTACGACTTTTTCTTATAATTAAGCAGGCATTTAGAAGGAATTGAGAAAATGTAACGTTATTAAAAAAAAATATACAAAATAAAATTAATGTCTTACACAAACAATAGTGACTTAGTGAGTCCGGCAATAATAAGTTTGTGTTTTTCTCTCGTGGCATGTTTTTAATATTTTTACCTAACACGAGAGAATTCAAATCCTTTTACACTCTTGTCTGTTAATTAAGACTTGGATGGAATTCCTAGCCGGGGGTCCCATAAATGGACTTTTTCTTTCATTCGGTTGAGACAAAATAAAGTGGCAATTTTATTGTCTTTAACTATTTTAAAACTTTTATATCCTTATTTTCATTTCACTCAACTAAAACGGTTAATAAAGAATAAAATGACGAGAAAGAGAGTAAAAAAAAAATAGAAAAAGAAAATGCGTAGCTTTTACATTTTATATTATTTATTATAAGCTAAAAAAGAGGTGAAAAGAGAACATTGTTCTTTCAAAAGACAAAAGTAGTTTAATTAGAATATACTACTATTAAAGAAAGGTGGGGAGGGGGGAGGGATAAAAAGACAATTATGCAATGAAAGGAAGAACTCAAAGCCACCTTCCCATGTCATTAAAAAGCAATAATGCATGTAGTGAAATACGGGGCATGTTCACAAAATAATTGAGTCAGTCATATGCAAGTCCAGATTAACTTTCTCTTTTTAAAAAATGAGAATAACAAAAAGAGCATGAAATTCACAACTATATTTGCTATCATATTTGTCAACATGTGATAAACTCTTTTATTACATCTATTTTTTATAAGAGGGATAATTACTGTATTTTTAAATATAGTGTTTTATTACTTAAAATTGTTGCTCAAGGATGAGTGAGTATTGAGTGGAGTTCCAATGGAAGGAATACAAAAAATGGGATTTTTGTAGCTCTTGCAAAAATAGGTAATTCCTTGTTGATTTGTGGGTGACTCGGACAGGGAAGGTTCGTTAGAGAAAGACAGGAGCATCTGGGCCTTCTTATTCACGCCACGGGCGCGGGATATGTTTTGGCATATACCTATCCAAGCTTTATTTATAGACAATTTATTAGACATGCACTACCATCTTGTCTTTTTTCTCTCCGCATATTCCATCTTCTTAAGCCTCTCTTTGCTTGCGGCAAAATAAAATAAAATTCAAATTATAAGTGAATTCAGGGAACAAATTTTAAATAAATTCTCAAATACAAACCACATTCTTCCAAAATAACCTCTATTATTAATTAATTAAAAAATATTAAATTACAAAGAAGACTAATTACATAAAAAATAAATGTTATTTATTAATATACTTCTATTTAATATTCCCTCTGGTTCTTTATATAAAAAACAAATGCTTTCTTTTTTATTTAGTTCTAATTATTAAAAATAAATACATAGTTTAAGATGCATTGATACATTTATTAATTTATTAATAATACAAGTTACAATTATTGGTAAATAAAAAAGTCGTCTCTATTTAAACCAATCAACTCAACAGAAGTTTTTGAAATAAAATTTAATTTAATGACATCATTAATAAAAATTAACTAGCTTAACTATTTTTTATTGATTTTGATAAATTATTTATTTATTTATTTATATAAAAGACCGAAAAGAATATGTACTATTAATAATGTATGTATAAATGATTAATATATTAAATAAGGATATTTTAGTTGAAATATAATATGTGATTTCTAAAGAGAATAATTTAATAATAAAGAATATATTGATACTATTTTTGAATCTTAAAGGGAATAAATGAGTAAATGCATATATACTTTGTTGTAAAAGAGTTTTGACATGACGATCCACGAAATAAGTATATTAATTATGTTATTTGTGATTGTTGGGAGTGAAAGAGCAGGGTGCTTGAAGTTGTTACTCTGATTGCGAAGAAGGGAAGAAGGAAATGGGTGACAATGGTATGAGTAGGATCCAATTTTTGAATAATAAGTTTTGGCGAATGTGAAATGGTTATATGATAACCGTTTGATTTTGATGGCAAACGCAGATTCGTTCTCCGAATTCCTGGCTTCTGCAATCGACGCCGCTCGCAAGGCTGGCGAGGTGGTTCTCCACTCCATTCTCTCTACTTGTCTGTCTCTTTGGTTTTCAACGTTAACGGCTTTTATTTGCAGATTATTCGGAAAGGTTTCTATGAGACGAAGCAAGTGCAACACAAAGGACAGGTTTCCATTCTCAACTGTAAGTAAACAACCACTAAAGAGTAAAGACATAATTATTTATTGGAATGCACAGGTTGATTTGGTCACTGAAACTGATAAAGCATGTGAAGACCTCATATTTAATCATCTCAAGCAACTTTACCCCTCTCACAAGGTTCTTTCACCTCAACTTTACATATAAATATAATCATATTTGAGTTTCTCACTCTACATTTTCTTGTTAGTTCATTGGGGAAGAAACCACAGCTGCTGGTGCCAATGCACAACTTACGGATGAACCCACATGGATAGTTGATCCTCTCGATGGAACTACTAATTTTGTGCATGGGTAAATTTAATATAATATCGATCTCATTTTTAATTCATACGTTCGCATTTCCACATCGATTGATTATAGTTCTGCTTTTTTAGGTTCCCTTTTGTTTGTGTCTCCATCGGTCTCACAATTGGAAAAATTCCTACAGTTGGCGTTGTTTACAATCCAATAATTAATGAGGTTACAATCTTTCCTTTTGCACAAGTTGGTGACCACAAAAACGTTTTATATTTCCTGACGTGAGATATATGTTTTTATTTTTTGTTACCATGTAAATGCAGATTGTTAACAAAACTAGTGAATTGATTTATTCTCTTCTTTTATCAACATTATTTTCGCTGACCTTATGTATTTGTAATGGTTTGTTGAGGACTAGAGACACTGGAATAATTAATTTAGGACTATTTTCATTTGTTTTCCTCCCTTGCTTATCTTATTATGTAAACTGAAGCTTTAGTTGCCATCTGTAGCTTTTCACTGGAATTCGTGGGAAAGGTGCTTTTCTGAATGGGAACCCTATAAAAGGTTGGTCTTTTGCTCTCTACCTTTTGATTGTTATTGTTAATCGAGTTTGGATACCTCATGGATATGCCTTGAAATTTTGCAGTATCGTCACAAACTGAACTAATGAGTGCTCTTCTTGTAACTGAGGTATGTCAAGTCTGTTAGAGTTGATTATGTGAAAGTTGTTCATTTATCTTTTTCTTTGGATCAATATAATGTATTCTATTCCACTCCCTCTCGTTATTGTAATTGGTAAAAATTAAGTTGGGACAATAATTTGCTCCAGAATATCAATGGCTAAGATCCACGTAATTCTTTTGGTTAATAAAAAACAACTTCAGACCAACTACATGGCCAGTAAGAAACCTGACTTACGTCTATTTTGGTCTAAGCATGCACCTTTGTGTGTGTGCTTTCATATACATATATGTTTGAACATGTGCTCTGTGGGCACTTGCGCGTGGGCATGTGTGCCATTTCTTGTCAATCTTTTTCTACACATTTGTATTTTTATTTTCAGCAGCTAGCACCTCCATCATGAAATGTATTACAAGACCCATATAAATCAGGATACTCTCCTTTTATTTTCCGAATATGATCATTGTGTACCTTGACAGTTGATATACATAAATGGTTTTGTGTTTCCTTTTATTTCAATTACCATGGTGAAGTAGCAACCCTCTATGAAGAGTCCCTGATTCAAAATAAAAATAGTTTACTCATAAACAAAACCCGTATAATTGTAACCTGACCATTTTGGATTTATAAATTTTGTATACTCTGAATTTATATGCTTTGAGAGCATGCTCTGGTTATGTTTTGTTTTGCTACTTGCCTCTCAGATATTCCAAATTCTAAATACATGGCTGATATATGAATTTCAAAACCTTTGTATTCACGAGCTTGTGCAAACTTAGACGGTACAAAATTCAAACATTTCCTTTATTCAGGTAATAACTGTGACATGTTGAAGAAATATAACAAAGTAATGTAGGAATTAGAGTTTCTCTTTTCTGGGACTAGGAAATACATTATATCTTAACCGCAAATATGATCATTTAGCAGAATGTGGCATCATTGCTAAGTTTTCTTTAAATTGTTTCCTCGGTGACACACTATGGTTTGTCTAATGGGGTGAGGCAATATGCATAAGGTCATAAATTCAAACCTCATTGTCACCTATTGTGCAAAAAAAATGTATTCCCAGTGACTTGCTTCTTTTGTTCCTGCAATGTTGTATTGTATTTAATTGAATGCAATTCCAGTCCTCCAGTTTGAAAATTTTCCTATTTTCTGGAATACTAACTTGAGATGGGATGATCTAAGTCGTCAATTCATATTCAAGTGTACTTGGGTCAGTTTCACTGTAAGTTTTAAATCAATATAGATTTGAAATTCATCAAGTTTTTTCATTTCTGAAAGAGCAGGTGGGAACAAAACGTGACAAATCAACATTAGATGCCTGCACAAACAGGATTAATAGCTTGCTTTTCAAGGTAAAACGAGGTCTTCCAATTGGAATCAATTGGACTAAAGTTTGATATGGTTGTGACATAAGTATGCCTTTAATATGATTAGGTGAGATCTCTTAGAATGACTGGCTCCTGTGCTTTAAACCTTTGCGGAATTGCATGTGGAAGGCTGGATGTATGCTTTGAACTAGGCTTTGGAGGTCCTTGGTAAGAATTTCACATCCCTCATACATGGTATTGGTGGGCATTTTGATAATATGATATGTTCCTAGATTGACATGTTCTCTTCCTTTTTATCAGGGATGTGGCAGGCGGTGCTGTCATTGTTAGAGAAGCTGGAGGTGTTATATTTGATCCGTAAGTGACTTTAATTAGAGGCCTTTGTTCTTAACCACATAATAAGCTATGCTGTTCTACAATGTTTGCATTGTTAGGTTGGTAGGCTATTTTATTACTTGCATGGATCTTCATCTTGTGGCCATTTATGTAGATATTGTTGGATGGACATGCAATGTACTTATGCGCTATCACAATCCTTTCCTTTCATTAGTAACTATAAAACACACACTTGAATGTACATTCTTCAAAGATCTTATACTTTATACGTCCAAATCTGATGGTTCATTTGCTTCAGGTCGGGTGCAGATTTTGACATCACATCCCAGCGAGTAGCAGCTTCCAACCCTTTCCTGAAGGATGCCCTTCTTGATGTTCTGCGCCAAACCGTGTAAGAAACCTGCTATTAATCGATGACAAGGAGAAATTGAATCAGCCTTTGTGTGGGGTGCATGATTTCAATTATTTTTCTAATTCTCTTGTCACCTATCCGAAATATTAGTATTCTATTCTCTAATTTTTATTTTCTTTTCAAAAGGTTCACATAGTTAACAATGCAACTTGCTTTAAAATAATTCCATGGCGTAGCCAAGAAACTTTCAACACGACTGTGTTCTGTTGTTTCTTTTTATCGTAACTCCTTTTTGAATTTCATTTTATTTAATTATTAGATGGCTGAGTCTTTTGGTAGTTGGTATTTTTAGGTTAGATAGTATGATCTTAAAAATAAAAAACTTGATTAAAGCCCGAGAAAAATTGCAAGCGCCAAGCGATAAGTCATCTACTACCATAAAGTGAGTTGGCGTGCGTGTCTGCTTCCGGGTGGAACGTGTTTGGTTTACAATTTCATAATACATGAATCACTGATGATTAAATATGGTACAAATGAATGATCTGTAACAGAGAAAAACACATTTCTAAAGAGAATTGTGTCGAGAGAAGAACATAATTTTATATATAAAAAAAATCCATTTTTTAAGGGGAATGGAGAGGGGAAATGGGATAAGAGAACTCGATGCATTCCTTTAGTCAAACTCTGACCAAGTTCATTCTAATTGAGGATGCGTCAATGATTGTGCCCCTAAATGTACAATATTCAGGGAATCTGAGCTGTATATGCTTTTAACGTTTGAACTTCTATTTACAACTATATTTAAAGCTTAAGCAATTTTTATTAAAAATTGGATCGAAAGATTTGTTTCAATTAATGAGGAATTTTCGCTTAGGTCATTTCTTATTATGTTGTTCGGTTCAATCTCTGATTATTTATCAATTTAGTGAGTTGAACCAATCAAATTATAGCCTGAATTCTTATGGTTTGATCCATGACTTAGTATTTAAAAATTGAGTCTAAGTTCCGGGAATAAAATTTTAAATTGTTGCAAGTTGTTGTAGTTTTCAGAAGTACTTCTACTTTAAAATACAAAATTCGTAGTCAAATTTCCGTCTTTTGCTTCGCTACAAGCCGAAGAAAGAAACAGAAAGGTTGCTCCCAAGAATGTAAAGATACTTGAAACACAAGATATGTAGAAAGAGTAAGACCCAAGGAAAAAAATAATTAAAATAATAAATACAAATATGAAGAAACAGAAACCAATACAATGTATACCCTGTAGTAACAGTATGGATAAAACCAGACCTGAAAGTCACTTTCCTATGAAAGAATTACCTCAAAACTGAGACTCTGAGCAACTGGAGCACCCCTAAATAACTTCAAACATCTGTAAGAAAATATACAAAGGAGTCCAACAACAAAATACACACAAATAGAAGGCAGAAAATAACAAAAGAAACCAATATCTATCTGTCTTTCTGGCTACACATCCTAAACCTGTTGTGGCCTAGAACCATAACCATTGACACCATTTGCCCCGTGTGACATCTTGTTCTCTGACTTCCTCCTCTTCAAGACTATGATCCACGTGTAAGCTTCCAAAAGGACAGCAATGGCACCCAATGCTCCAATAATGCCAATGTACGCATTCCTCCAGCTATCGTAGCGATCCCCAACGTAGTTTTCCAAGGTATTGAACCCTTTAAATACGTTGGCTATACTGAGGCCTATGGTGGCGTATCCGACAAAGTGGTGGTACGCATTCCAGTACACTCTGTATTTGTGGTCTTTGTTGAGCCTCAAGAACAGCGCAAACACCTGAATCACATCGCAAAGGTTTCTGTTATATGGTTCCATTCCATAATTAAGCAAAACATGAAAACCTGGTATCGTACCTGAAGAGTTCCGAGGCAGAAGAGGATAATACCAATTGTTCTGTGAGTGTCATACTGAACACCCTTCGAGTCACTACCAAGTTTGAGACCTGTACCAAATCCAGAAACACCAACTATGTACGCCGAGGCTTGGCACGTGACATGAAGATAAAACCAAGCAGGGTCTGCAGATTTGAACACCTTCAAGTACCTTGCGATTATGGCACCCGTTGGCATCAATATACCCCAGCTCACCGCATTTAGCACTCCATGGGTCTGAAATTAACAATCTCCATACTCAATCCATCTCTACAATCTAAACTTAAACACCAAAACCAAAATACAATACTAAAGGAACCTGTTTGATTCCCTCTCACTTTTTTGTTTCAAAAGTTGTTTTCTAAGACAATTCTACTCAAATAGGAAATAGGAAATCTTTATTACTCTATCATCATAACCATGGTTGATATTTTTTTAATCAGGATTGAAGTTGATAAGAAAGTGTAGCTAAATTTTGTCATGGTTTAAGACATGTAAGAAAAAAAATCATAAGATTGGTGCTTACGTTTCTTCTTTTTAGACGTGAATTGCCGGTAGCCTGAGTGGAGGAACCAGAGAGAAGATTCAACGTTTCCTTGGAGTTTTGGTGGGAAGTCTCATGGCTATGCTCTTGAGGGGTGGAACCAGAGAGAGGGCCATCTTGCCAGACGTGTACCAAAGAGGTGGTGCCGTTAGGAAGGGTGAGAGTGGCAAAAATGGTGACCTCGTTGTTCTGATACGTGGCACTCAACCCCTCCACGGGATAACTGATGTTTCCCTCTTCCAACTGTGTGGCGGTGTTGGCGATGGACGAAGTATACGCTCTTGGGCTTCCATTTGACTGCGGAATAGCCACCAGGGCTTGGGCCCCAATCATGGCCGGGTCAAGAGTGTTTCTGGGATTGATGGCCCAAGCGACCCATCTATTCGTTGAGGTGATTCCAGCATGTTTGAATGCTATCTCCAACTTGCCACTCGCCTGGTCATATGTCCAGTGTAGATATGCTGTCAACTGTGGGAGATCACGACATGTGGTAAACACCCTGTTTGAGAATGTTTGGTTTCTACACGTTTGAGCTGAGGATGTTACAAGCGCACAACTCAAAACAGACAAGGCCAACACTAGCCTCAACATGCTGAGCATGGACATGCCCTTCCCTTGCTGCTGCCTGGTCGTAATTATTGGTTTAGGACTTGACAAGTTTAGAATCTGTATTAGGTTGGTATAGAGCAAATTTGGTACCAAAGGGGTTCTGAGAACTTAAAGGGGTAGTAGTTTAGCGTGGCGTTTGTTTCTTGTGATGCAAATAATCGCTTTAAGTTGAAAAATGGAGCAGGTGGTAGGCAATGAGAGAGACAGACAAGAGCCTTCATTTATTTATAAGAGTTGGTGGGGTTTGGTTGTTGAAGTGGAATAAATATCAGCATGTCAGAAAATCTTTACAAACTTTTATACTTTTAAATTATTGTCAAATAGAATTTTTTTAGTTAATCTGTACAACGTATTCACCGTGACAAATAATGAATTAATCTTTGTGATATATTTATTTATTCATTAGTACACAGGAATCAGGATAACATGGGTAAGAGACAAAGCGATATATGTATTTATGACAAACACTTGATAAATAAGCTATGAAATGTTCCACCAATCATAAGGATTAACTATCCTTGCCTACCGTTGGGAAGCTTCCTTTCCGTGATAAAGTGATTTGATTTTTTCCACGAAGAATCTGTATTCCTACTCCCCCGGTTGACAAGGTTTATCTATCATTTTCTAAATCAACCACAGCCTCTAATAGTTGATTTGGCAAAGTATATACTGATGCAACTTATACATCAATTTAAAATGCTTAATTTTGATGCGTGAGTTGTGAGTGGAGGTCAGAATTTTTAGCCGCTTTAACCAAACGTCTAACTCTGACAGTAGGTGTGCCCGACGCGGCTTCATAATCTTTACATGCAGATAAATACAAATTAAGGGCTTTTATTTTATTCACATAAATTTGAAATATTTTTTTGCATGGAAACAATTCAAAATTGTTCTTGTAGTTAATACTTGATTCAACTTTTGACCAATACTCCACATAAATAACGAAAAGAAAAGTGGATATTATAAATTTTTAATATATATATATATATATATATATATATTATTTATAAAAATTAGAGATGAAAGCAAAAATAATAAATTTGTGATTTTTACTTTTTTTTTTTTTTTTTTTTTTTTTTTTTTTTTATACTGATCTCTTTAATTGTTTGAAAAAATAATCCTAAACACTCCTTAGACACATGAACCACTTTGAAACTTTTGAAAAACATTACACTATGATTCTTATAAGTGAAATTACTATAAAAAATTATAATAAAAAAAATTAAAAAATAAAGAGTATACTACATGGACACCCCTTGAGGTTGAAGTTTTGTGAAATCACACACACTACTTGGTTATTTTTTCCCGCCCTAGTTCCCTTAATTGTTTGAGAAACATAACACTAATATTTATTATACATTTCAATTACTCCCTTTAATCTTTTGAAAAGCAGTATACCGATTTCCTATCAGGGAGATTGCTAAAAACGTTAAAAATAAAATGGTTATCGGTAATATCGCAAAATCTCGGATATAGATAACAATTCAATTTTCTAATTTTAAATTTATAAGACATTGTTCAGAAATATAGAGATAATAACTCTTTTTTTTTTATGTTGATTAGAATTAAAAATATTATATTTAAGAATTTGTTTCCTCTTATAATATCAAGATTTTGGATGAATTTATAGTTTTTTTTAAGCTGAAAAGAAAAATATAATCCATTAAAAATATTAAAACATTATCGTTGATGTTAGAATTATGAATCATATTATTTTAAATAAATTTGTGTGATTTTTTTAAGGATGTTCTCTTTATGTCTTTTTTTTTTGTTATTGTGTGTATGAAGATTTTTTTTTTAACAAATACAATTTACTCTTTAATAAATTATAGTCCAAACGTTACATTCGACTCCTATCAACAAAAAAAATGAATTGGAAGACTTAAATCACCTCTAATAAGAGTTCCTAATTGTCTTCTTAAATATAAGAATAAATTATTGTAAATTTTATCATTGGAGAAATTTGATGTGAATTTAGGAGAACATTCTTATATAAGAACTTTCATCAATCAATAAAAAAATATTATTATTATTCTCACTTGAATGGGGAAAAAATGAGATCTATTAAAAAAATTAATAATTTAAAATAAGTTTTTCCGTTAGAGGAAAAATAAATGAAAATTTTAAAGCTTAAGTGACATTAAGATTAAAAAAAAATTAAGAATCTAAAATGAGTTCAACTATTAAATTTTAAATAAAAGAAAAAATTATTAGCATTTTACTCAAAAATATATAACATGTACATATCTTAACCATTATATTGAAAGAATTTTTAAATACACTTTTTTTTAAAGAAAAAATTACACTCACCTCTCCTGGGACTCATTTAAATGACTTACATATCCCTTTTAGTTTTTAAAAATCATTTACTTCCTTTAGAATAATGTCATTAATTAGAGTGAAATAATTAAAAAAAAAAAAGTCAATTCATATTTTATCAACCAGAGTGAATTGTGAGGACTTTGAAGCGATTGTCTCTTTGAAACTTGTAACTTCTGAGCTATATTTTCTTTCTGTTGTGTTGTGATGTACATGAGGTATGTCATTGTGTAGTGTTGTGGTATGCACTAGACATGTTGTGTAGAGTTGTGTTGGGATGATATGCATAAAGTATGTTGTTGTGTAGAGTTGTGTGATGATATACATGAGGCATATTGTTATGTTGATAAGATGCATGATAAATGATGTTAAATTGTGTTGTGAACTTAAAACAAAAGAGATGTATTGTTTTAAAGTAAAAATATCTTATTGTATGAATATGTGTTGTGATGTTCTAAGAGTTTAATTGTTAAAAAAGTTTTCTTGAGTATTATTGTCTTTTAAAATAAAGTATTGAATCACCTCTACGAGGGTTAGGTTAAACCATACTTGTCGAAAAACAACCAATTTTAGTAAATATGAAGTCGATGAGTAAAATCATTAACTAACTATTAGAAGGATGTGTGGTATTCCGAGGATAGCTAGCACACTGTTTCCAAGTTATCTTATTTTTAACAACAGGTATTGAACTTCCCTAATATAAGTAATGAAATTCAAGAAATCATGTTATATTGAAAATGGATTGATATCCAGCTTTATTTTTGATCTAGCAAGCCAAAAATATCTTGGTATTGGTTTGATTGAATCAATTTATTTAAACTACTCATATGTTTTATAAGCAAGAGGGAAAGCGTATTTGTTTTAGTAGAACTTTATATTTTACGATAATATATATATATATATATATATATTATTGCATAAATATTCATGAATTATTTGTATGATAATTATAAGTATTTATATTTATTTATTATTTATTTTTGAATTACGTATAATAGTTATCTTTTTTGTAATTTTTTTTGTATTTTTCTTTAATTTTTAGAATAATATTTTTTTAGCCAATTCTTTAAATTTATTTTTTGAAGTTGGTATTTTTTAAACCACAACATAAATATTGTTTATAATTTAATTTAAGAGTTAAGATTATATATAAAAAAAACTAATTTTCATTCAATTGGTTATATTTATATTAATAAATTATTATCTATTAATGATACATAGATAATGTTATCTTATATAAGAGGTTTTATATATAACTCTAATTTTATTCTGAAATGGAATTAATATACATATAATATAGAATATGATTTATTTTTTAAAAATTGTAATAATAAACAATGGAAGAGAAAAGAAATCGATAAGATCGTTTCCTCGTTGGCCCCAATCTGCCACTTGTCCAGTTGATCATTTCTATGGTGTCATTTTACGCTGTCGTTTCTTCTAATATTTTCCCACTATATATTTCACACGTGAATTTATATACGAACAAGTCTTCTGAAAAAAAAAACAATAAATAAAGGAAGTCTTTTGTGGTGTACGGTTTTGACACCATTTTAAATATATTTTTATTATTTGATGAACAACCGTATAAAATAAATGTTGCATTAATCATAGAATATAATTCATTTCACCATTCCAATCCTAACAATACGAATTAGGTATAATATTTATGTACAACAACACATGTTACTAAAAAAAAAAATCAAATGACAACTAATATGCATGAATGGGTCAAAATATTAAACTTATTTTTCTCCCTTTAATAAAATTTATTTATAAATATAATCACTATTTGAATTTCTAATTTAAGGTTTTAATGAAAGCAGTGAAGGAGTTGTTAACTTTTTAATAAATTCAGGCAAAAAATATTGTTAATATATTTAGGTTAAAGATTTAATTAGTACTCGGCTGGTGTAGTATAGTACAAGTTGACTGTTTGAGAATATTGTAATACAATATTCTTTTACACAAATAATCAAGTCACAGTATATTTGGTTTTCAGGAGATAAATATGGGATAAATAGAGTGAAAAAAATTGAAGAAAAGAAAATAAGTGAGTATAAATAGGTAAAACATATGATGAAAATAAAATTATTTGATTTGAATGGATGAAGAAAAAAGAAATTATAATTAATAAAAAAATATAATTTTACACTTTTATTACTTACCAAAATACAATCAAGTGAAATTGTTGTTTATTTGAATAAATAACATATTTGTTCAAATAAAACAAGCTTTTGAAAATATTTATTTAAGTAAAAGGTTATTTTATTCTAATAAACATAGTACTTATTCGAATTAAACAACTTCCTAAACCAACGTTCGAATAAAGTGAGTATAATTTTTCTTTTATTGTATATATTATACGAATAAAACTTTTACTCAATCGAATAAAAGTGCTCGTATTTTAGGCTGAATGTATATACAATATTATGAAGAATGAACCCACATGCAACTTTCCAAAGGATAAAAGTGTAAAAAAATAATAATATCATTCTCTCTTCCCAATTTCTCTTCATATTTAAGAAAAAAAAATATAGATATGAGATTCACGTTTCTCTTCAGTTGAAATATTTATTCAAACGCTATTTTGTCGAAACAAACACACCGTAAAGCTTTTTGATTTTGCCCTCTAAAAAAAAAAAAAGTTGAGCTATTTCTGGTTGGCCGTCCAAATCACCTGTGTCTGTGCTTCTTCTTCATCATCATTACTATGTAGCTTTTCGTCAAGAAAAATCTTTACCTTTTAATAATTTAATTATAATAAATAAATATATAAAATCATTTTTATGTTATAAATTACAATATATAATTTTAAAACCCAAAACTTATTTTTATTCTTTTTTCAAATTCAATATTTTAAT